TTTTTTGCATTCAGATGGCTAACATCTAGAAGTGATAGAGCCCCTTTTGCTCACATCTACCTTAGGATCATTTTTTATTAGGTAGCACATCCCTCCAACCTAAAGGTGTATTTGCTCATTTCAGCCATACGCGACTGCCAGCCTTGCCTTTTATTGTGGTATCCACATCGTGCCATCACTCTGCTAAACAACTAATTCCCGCAACACTGTCAAACTACTCAGTAAAAATGTATTAATATTATTATTCTCATCTTTCCTATTACCTGTCTCCTTTTCTACTTATGACTATAACTTGGTTGCTTGTATCTTTACATTTATATTGTTTTATTTAGCTTCCTAGTATGATTTATGTCGATTCTATCACTGTGTTATATCTTATGATGAATGTATTTTTAGGATGACTGTGATCATGATTTATCACTTATAGCTTTTATGTACACTGAGAACATAAGCACGGAAGATAAATTCCTTGTGTGTCCAATCATACCTGGCCAATAAAGAATTCTATTCTATTCTATTCTATTCTATTCTATTCTATTCTATTCTTAGTATTGTCAACACAGGCAAAACATAATTTTAGAGGCAAGTAAAGTAACGCATTTTCAGGTTGCCGGAAACATCCTAGATAACCAAATGATGCTGATCTTTTGATCGTTAGGGATGTCTCAGATAGCCAGTGACAGTGGAGGGAAAACCAGAGAAAGGGATGCTTAAAAAGGAGAAATAAATTCCTTATTCGTTCTGCAAGCTACCATGTCGTTCTGATAGGAACAAGATTTTTTTCACTGACGACGAAGACAACAGTCACATTTTCAATATTTTGTCCGCTAGATTAAGGTTTCACCTAAGCTGGCATATATCATTCTTTTCCAAGGCAAAACAAAAAAAAAGTACCTCTACATGCTTTGCCAAGTATTAAACTAATTATCTTGAATTTACAGGGATGGAGTTAACATTTAACTATAATTTGGATTGTCTGGGCAACGGCAGAACTGAGTGCCACTGTGGAGCAGAAAACTGCAGTGGATTCCTAGGAGTGCGGCCAAAGGTCAGTCACACAAGTGGGGGAATAGGACAAAAAAAAAAACTACAGACAGAGGGAATATGTCTCACACATGTTCTCTGTCTACTTGTGCTCACCAGTCAGAACAAGGTCCAAACAAGGACTTCCCTCCTGATCACATTCATTACAGGAAGTCCTCAACTTATGGCAGTTTGTTTAGTGACCATTCGAAGTTAGAACGGCACTGTAAGACCCCTTTCACGCTTACGACCGTCACGTGAGCAAAATTCAGCCCCCTGGCAACTGATTCATATTTATGACAGTTGCAGTGTCCCTGGGGTCACGGGATTATCTTTTGCGACCCTCTGATGAGTGAAGGCAATGGAGAAGCCAGAGTCACTTAACAACGGCAGAGATTCGCTTAACAACTGGGGCATGAAAGGTGAACGCAGTGGTCAGAGCGCAGTACTGCAGACTCCTTCTGCTGACTGCCAAATTGGGGGCAAGAGGCTGACTCTGTAAACTGCTTAGAGAGGGCTGGAAAGCAGTATATAAGTCTAAGTGCTATTGCTTTTAACCATCTTCCCGCTTAGCAACAGAAATTTGGGGCTGAATTGAGGTCATAAGTCAAGGACTACCTGTATAGTATCCCCCGCTTCATTTAGGACTGATGGCAACTGTTAGGTGTTCACCTGAACTCCATATTTTCTTGGGTGGAAACTTTTGCTGTCAGGTGTCAGGGTTCAGATGTCAAGGATTAGAACAAGGCAGCGTCCAGGCGCTTGAGTCCATTTCAAGAAACAAAATTAAGAAGACATCTCAGGCAGGCCCCTGCCTAATTCAAATGGAGATAAAGTGAAAGAAAGTGTCATGCCCCTGTCAGATTCTAGCTGACAGGGAGTGCGAGTGTGGCTCCGTTGGCTGTGGAAGAAATTGGGGAAGGGCAAAGTCCAGCTGGGCAGAGCAGGGGAGAGGAAGAACAAGGCAGAAGGAATTCAGAGGAAGGCCCAGGCCCAGGCCCGCTTCATCCTAGGGAACGCAGGGAGGAACGGAAAAGGGATCAAAGTGAGTTCTGTGGCTTATGGGGGAGGAAAGGGCCCTGATTCCCTTCATTAGGTGCAGCTGGGAACACAGTGTATAGAAGAGGAAGCTGCGCACAGCAAGTTGTTGGGAGCAAATCGTGAATTTATCAGGTATCGCTGTGGCTTATCTGTGTCCCTGGCATCTTCCCAACCGTGTGAGTTTTGCCGTGCTTTCAAGTTTGAAAGTCCTTCTCCTGCCCTCTCAAGTTAATTACTTCAGCTTAGTTTGTTTGGATTTTTAGTTACAGTCTGTATGTACCTTATTTTGGACTGAATTTCCTACAGTTAAAGGCTGTTCCTGGGAGAGTTTTTCTCCAGCCAAAGGTAACCTGGACATTGGGGGCAAAGTTGGAGATAATAAAAGGACTCTTCTTGCTTATTTGACTGTGTTGCCTTTGTGCCACACCCTGGGTCATCCCAGAAAGAGGAAGCACATTCAGACTTGCAAGACTGTGTTACTATAGTTCCAGGCTGGGGGAACTATGTAGCTCCTTTACGATCTGTGGACTTCATCTCCCAGAATTCCTGAGCCACAAGAATCCTGGGAGTTGAAGTCTACAGGTCCTAAAGGAGCTACATCATTTCCCGCAGCCCTGTGTAGAGGACACAATGAAAGTAGTCGCGTCCTGTGTGGCGTTGGTTTCTTAACCTTGCAGGGCTGATTTAAGACAGCAAGTGCTCCTTTCTTCTTTATTAATATCCTTCTTGGTTTTCCCCTCTACCCGGTCAGACGGCCTGCGCAACTGCGAATGAAGAGAAGGCGAAGAACGCAAAACTGAAGCAGAAGAAACGGAAGATAAAAACGGAGCAGAAGCAGATGCACGAAGACAATTGCTTTCAGTGTGGAGATGGAGGTGAACTCGTCATGTGTGACAAAAAAGACTGTCCCAAAGCATACCACCTCCTCTGCCTTAACCTGACACAGCCGCCCTTTGGTAGGTGTCTCGCAATTTTGTGAGAGCTGTAAACGGGCCTATTTTGGAGGGGCTGGGGGGGAGAAATGACATAAAAGTATGTATACAAAACCACCTGGCTGTTTCAGCTAGGGGCTGTGATGGCACAGTGGTTAGAAGGCAGTATTGCAGGCTAGCTCTGCTGCTTGCCAGGAGTTTGAGTCTCACCAGGCTCAAGGCTGACTCAGTCTTCCATCCATCCAAGGTTGGTAAAACAAGGACACAAATTATTGAGGACAAGAGGCTGACTGTAAACCGCTTAGAGAGGGCTGGAAAGCATTATGAAGCAGTATATAAGTCCAAGTGTATTGCGAAGGGAAGGAAGGAAGGAAGGAAGGAAGGAAGGAAGGAAGGAAGGAAGGA